GTTGGCAACGCTGCCCGTCATTCATCGCGCTCTTTCAACGAGAGTCCGCGGCCCGCTCCGGTGACGATTACGCGCACAGCACTAATCACGGTGCTAACCGCGCCGAGCGCCGCCCGAAAAAAAAAACCACGCGGCGTACGGACAGGTGCGGGAACCTGGTGCGGTTTCATCGAACGGTGAGTCCGTCTCTTTTGTACGCCCACGTTTGTCTAACAAATTATATACAATCTAATCTAATCTCCAACTTCCTCGTGCTTACGCTTCGCTTTTAGCTCGGCGAGTACTATTGTCCAGTCGTTTAACAATTCCTACGGCGAATGATAGCGAGACCGTTAACGGGCCGTTCCGGCCAACGCGCGTTCGAACAATCATCTGTCAACGAGGGTGTTGCTCATTCTTCGCCGCGCGTTGTACGATTATGCCTACAACGCTCGGCGGGAATGCGATGGGCGATATCGATATCCGCCGATACGCCGAGAGGAAGGAGCGCCCGAGCCTCCCCGTCTAAAATTCGTAAAGTCGGCGTCGCGCGTTCTCGCCGCGAGCGTTTTGCAGTCTCGGCGGAGATACCCCCATTGTTTCAGCGATAAAAAAAAGGCTAGCGGGGGCTTAAATAGAGAATCGCGCACGGCCGAGAGTCGTTAATAATCGTCCTCCACTTTACTTGAGTGGTACACGATAAAGCCTCGAGGTGTCGACCGCAGATCGAGTATTGTTCGTCCTTTCCCATCACCGGGGCCCCGGTGAATGACGCTGCCCGGCGATGATACGTCACGATAATGGCCGGTAATTCGACGTACCATCGCCGGGGCTCGTGCGCGCCTAGGAGGGAATATTGTTTCGCAGCGCGCGCGCGCACGCGCGATGGGAGTAGAGAGAAGTCTTGGCTTTTCAATTATCGGACCTTGGAGCGATACGATGATGGCCGGCGGAAGGCACGTATAACCCGGTGCAAGCCGCTGCACGCGGCCGGTAAACCCACACGCACGGGCGTATCTACGTCAAATTGCAGGTTCGATCCGAGCCGCGCTACGTACGATGGGCAACGGTACAACGTAGGGTACACGCAACACGCGTGTGGATCCCGCGAGTGGTCGATACACACCCCTCCTCCCGCCCTTGTGCATCGCGAATTCGCGCGAAATTTCGCCGACAGCCGCGCTTTTGTCCGTTCGCTTAAGAACCCGCTCAAGCCCAGTTTGTGCCTCTCCTCTCCGTCGACGGCGGTCTCGTAATTTTTCATTAAAATTTATCTCACTTCTGCCCCCTCCGTTGGCTCCTGTAAAAATGTCCATTTCGAGCAAAGGCCCGGACCAGGAGGGAGGCGAGGGCTCCTTTGCTTGGACCTCTCACGAGAGAGTGTCCTTCGGCGGTGCCTGCTCGTGACTCGGTATATAAAATATCGCGCGAGTGGACCTCTTTTTCTGCGTTTCACGGTTTATCAACGGCAGCGGCAAAATGCTCCATTATCTGGGAGGAAATGCGCTGCTATCTTTACCGCCGTCGCGATCCGAGCCTCCGCAGTCGTAATATTCAATTTCTCGGGTAGCGTATACTTTTATAACCCGATCGCGGGCTCTTCTCTTTCTTTTTCGAAATATGTATACTCGCGCGGTCTTACTTCGTCCCGGGCGGGATTTTTCCAAAGAGAGATGTTGCGAAACGAGAAACGCGGACGCGTGCACGGGACTTCGATCAATAACGCAACCATCGATCGAAGATTAACTTCCGTAGTGTTTTTTAGACCGATTCACTTAGATACGGCGCTGTTAATCGAAGCACCGGGAAAGCGAGGATGAAGGGTAATGGCGAGTATCGTGTTCCGCGACCGGTTTCGAGAAAGGCTCACTCGAGGTTCTAATACGTTGAAACGCATAAATCATCCGCAACATAGACGGACTTTGAAAAAGCAATAAATATATCGCCCCGTGTAATATCTTCTAGCCTGCAATTTCATACAATTTATGTCTCTCTGAAATATATAAGCGACGTGCCAATCCGACTGGAGGAACCTCGTCCATCGCATATTTCTCTCGGTGTTTAGTGGATCGATTACACTTTCGGATGACGTTTTTCAGCCCGCGGCTCGCTTTTCCCACCGGCGGATTCCGTGACGCGCGGCGTTTCCCGTTTCCGAGATATTGTGTCGCGAAACGATCGCGTTGCGGAATTACGCAGCACTCGAAGGAACGCGCGTTTTGTCTCTCCTCCCGAATTTTCCACCCTCTGTCTCTCCTCTCGCAGACGCGACGTGCCAGCATTTATGTGCGACACGCGTTAAAAAAAGAAAGGGCATCGCTCCTTCATTTCACACAGGATAGAGCTCCTCTCCTAGGTCCGAGTATTACAGCGAGTAGACGTTAAATTGAACATCTATATGTACGTAAGCACACTGAAAAAAATTTCTGGTTGAATATGGACGAATCAGATAATTCCTTTAGGATTTAACAGAATTTCTTTAGGATTTACCAGAATTCCTGTAATCCTACAGAAATTCTGGTAAACCCTAAAGGAATTCTGGTAAATCCTAAAGGAATTATCTGATTCGTCCATATTCAACCAGAAATTTTTTTCAGTGCACAATTATTATAAGTTTATCCGATCATGCGTTTATTCCTCTTTACATTTCTTCGTACGACTATGCATTTTTAATTGCTGAAAATGATCCTAAATAAGGATCGAAACGTTCAAGATTAAATACAATTATCGACGGCGCTTGGTTCTCAAGTAGCCCGTTACCTGCCTTCTTTAAAAGAAATTTTCGCCTCATTCGTCGCGTCGTCGCACCCTCAGAAAGGATTTCTGTTACTGAGACAAAAAATATTCTTGACGCGTTTACATTTCTCACAACCTCATTTAGTATAAAACGAGGAAAATATCAAAATAAAGTCAATAATTTTTATTCTCCATTATCGAATTAAAAAAGATTGACTTACTATAATATATTGAGACAAGAGTAACTTATATAAATGTAAGTTTATATTCTTGCGTTTAGAATAAATTTCCCCTCCATCTTACAATGCACGAAGGTGGCACCGCGATATTCAACAAAAGACGATTACGATTGGCGCTATATCGATTTTATTTTCTGATACATTCAAGTGTAATAGCATTGGATCCGGAAATTTTTTCTGTGGGTGCGTTTACTCGTCAGCTGTTTTCACAAGACGTCAAATCTATGATCAATTCGGTGCTGTAACTGCTAAAACTCACGCCTGTACACACGCGCGAGTTTTTCCACGCGAACCCGTTACA